TATCCTATGTCACAATGTATATGTATATGTATGGGTCGTTCGTAATTCAACATTGTTAGTTGGTGTGTCCGAGTCCTGTGAGTAGTGGTGCTGCCGCTACAGGGGAATAAGTAGAGAAGTATATAAGTTAATGCGGTGTAGTTGGAATGATTTGACAAAGCTTTGAATACATACAGCTCACTTCAGTGACGTTCATGTTTGTGGTTGTGGTAAATGTAATCACGTATGATATTTGTGTCACTATATATATATATATATATGTACATATGTTCAGGCGGCTTGTTAATCGTTGAAGGTCTTGGGAACAGGTGGATGGTGACAGTTGTGGCGATGATCTGTCTGGTGTGATTGGATGTGATGACTTGTGTTTGGTGTGTGAGGTGGATCATTGTGTTATTGTCCGTATAGTGTTGGTGGGTATGAAGCGGTGGCTGGCACTTGTTCTTACTGAGAGATGTGTTGTTCACGGAGATGCATTCTACCAGTATGATGTGTTTGTTATGAGTTGAGGATTAGGTGTTGTGAATAGTATTAGTACAGTGTATTGTGTGGAATGATGCTAATCGGTGTGTTGTGTGATGTGTGTTCTGCATGATGGATAGTGTTAATTTAGCGCGATAGAATTGCCAAAGTTGAGTGTGATGTTGGATATGATCTACTGAAATGATGTAAAGTAGTATAAGTGGGTAGTGTTTGTAAAAATTGTAATTGATGTTTCCGTGTGTATTTGTGTATATGATGGTGATTTTTATAGAGAATTGGGTTGTAGTTATAAATGTTTATGTGGTGAGAGTGTTATATGGTGATGCGACTGGTTGTATATGTTGTATGTGTGAAACGTTTGCTAATTGATGATTGAGTATAATGTGTTGAAGTATAATAGGCATATTATTGTTGAATGGTGTGCTTAAACTTACTTGGCGCCGGGACCAGGGTGATCACGAATGCTCTGGCCCCAGGTGGAGGCTCGCCATTGCACTCCGGCGTGTTGAAGCCTGCGACGATCCCTAATCGGGCTCGCTCGGACGCGTAGTTTTTGTCAGTGGGGAGGTCTTCGGATCATCCCTTTGAATAGTAATATAGTTCTCTTCAAACTCGACCACTGCCACACCATACACATATTCAGACTTAACTAAACACACATAATCATCAACTTCCCAACTCTAGACACTCAACACCTGACATACACTCCTCTAATTTCATTGCACAATATGAAATATCAATCACCCACCACACTCAAACAACTGCCTCCACAAATAACTACTTACACCACTTCACTCATTCCATAAACACCAGCTCTTACACAACCCAACAGACAGACACTGGTCCACTGGTGCTTCGCATTAACGTGCACATTACCATCAAGCGAACTTCACACTCATCTAGTTCACTAGACCAGTTCATATACTTGGTCATGGTTGCGTTGTCATTGTGATGAGACTATTCCATTCGATGGCAATTATCCTATGTCACAATGTATATGTATATGTATGGGTCGTTCGTAATTCAACATTGTTAGTTGGTGTGTCCGAGTCCTGTGAGTAGTGGTGCTGCCGCTACAGGGGAATAAGTAGAGAAGTATATAAGTTAATGCGGTGTAGTTGGAATGATTTGACAAAGCTTTGAATACATACAGCTCACTTCAGTGACGTTCATGTTTGTGGTTGTGGTAAATGTAATCACGTATGATATTTGTGTCACTATATATATATATGTACATATGTTCAGGCGGCTTGTTAATCGTTGAAGGTCTTGGGAACAGGTGGATGGTGACAGTTGTGGCGATGATCTGTCTGGTGTGATTGGATGTGATGACTTGTGTTTGGTGTGTGAGGTGGATCATTGTGTTATTGTCCGTATAGTGTTGGTGGGTATGAAGCGGTGGCTGGCACTTGTTCTTACTGAGAGATGTGTTGTTCACGGAGATGCATTCTACCAGTATGATGTGTTTGTTATGAGTTGAGGATTAGGTGTTGTGAATAGTATTAGTACAGTGTATTGTGTGGAATGATGCTAATCGGTGTGTTGTGTGATGTGTGTTCTGCATGATGGATAGTGTTAATTTAGCGCGATAGAATTGCCAAAGTTGAGTGTGATGTTGGATATGATCTACTGAAATGATGTAAAGTAGTATAAGTGGGTAGTGTTTGTAAAAATTGTAATTGATGTTTCCGTGTGTATTTGTGTATATGATGGTGATTTTTATAGAGAATTGGGTTGTAGTTATAAATGTTTATGTGGTGAGAGTGTTATATGGTGATGCGACTGGTTGTATATGTTGTATGTGTGAAACGTTTGCTAATTGATGATTGAGTATAATGTGTTGAAGTATAATAGGCATATTATTGTTGAATGGTGTGCTTAAACTTACTTGGCGCCGGGACCAGGGTGATCACGAATGCTCTGGCCCCAGGTGGAGGCTCGCCATTGCACTCCGGCGTGTTGAAGCCTGCGACGATCCCTAATCGGGCTCGCTCGGACGCGTAGTTTTTGTCAGTGGGGAGGTCTTCGGATCATCCCTTTGAATAGTAATATAGTTCTCTTCAAACTCGACCACTGCCACACCATACACATATTCAGACTTAACTAAACACACATAATCATCAACTTCCCAACTCTAGACACTCAACACCTGACATACACTCCTCTAATTTCATTGCACAATATGAAACATCAATCACCCACCACACTCAAACAACTGCCTCCACAAATAACTACTTACACCACTTCACTCATTCCATAAACACCAGCTCTTACACAACCCAACAGACAGACACTGGTCCACTGGTGCTTCGCATTAACGTGCACATTACCATCAAGCGAACTTCACACTCATCTAGTTCACTAGACCAGTTCATATACTTGGTCATGGTTGCGTTGTCATTGTGATGAGACTATTCCATTCGATGGCAATTATCCTATGTCACAATGTATATGTATATGTATGGGTCGTTCGTAATTCAACATTGTTAGTTGGTGTGTCCGAGTCCTGTGAGTAGTGGTGCTGCCGCTACAGGGGAATAAGTAGAGAAGTATATAAGTTAATGCGGTGTAGTTGGAATGATTTGACAAAGCTTTGAATACATACAGCTCACTTCAGTGACGTTCATGTTTGTGGTTGTGGTAAATGTAATCACGTATGATATTTGTGTCACTATATATATATATATATATATGTACATATGTTCAGGCGGCTTGTTAATCGTTGAAGGTCTTGGGAACAGGTGGATGGTGACAGTTGTGGCGATGATCTGTCTGGTGTGATTGGATGTGATGACTTGTGTTTGGTGTGTGAGGTGGATCATTGTGTTATTGTCCGTATAGTGTTGGTGGGTATGAAGCGGTGGCTGGCACTTGTTCTTACTGAGAGATGTGTTGTTCACGGAGATGCATTCTACCAGTATGATGTGTTTGTTATGAGTTGAGGATTAGGTGTTGTGAATAGTATTAGTACAGTGTATTGTGTGGAATGATGCTAATCGGTGTGTTGTGTGATGTGTGTTCTGCATGATGGATAGTGTTAATTTAGCGCGATAGAATTGCCAAAGTTGAGTGTGATGTTGGATATGATCTACTGAAATGATGTAAAGTAGTATAAGTGGGTAGTGTTTGTAAAAATTGTAATTGATGTTTCCGTGTGTATTTGTGTATATGATGGTGATTTTTATAGAGAATTGGGTTGTAGTTATAAATGTTTATGTGGTGAGAGTGTTATATGGTGATGCGACTGGTTGTATATGTTGTATGTGTGAAACGTTTGCTAATTGATGATTGAGTATAATGTGTTGAAGTATAATAGGCATATTATTGTTGAATGGTGTGCTTAAACTTACTTGGCGCCGGGACCAGGGTGATCACGAATGCTCTGGCCCCAGGTGGAGGCTCGCCATTGCACTCCGGCGTGTTGAAGCCTGCGACGATCCCTAATCGGGCTCGCTCGGACGCGTAGTTTTTGTCAGTGGGGAGGTCTTCGGATCATCCCTTTGAATAGTAATATAGTTCTCTTCAAACTCGACCACTGCCACACCATACACATATTCAGACTTAACTAAACACACATAATCATCAACTTCCCAACTCTAGACACTCAACACCTGACATACACTCCTCTAATTTCATTGCACAATATGAAACATCAATCACCCACCACACTCAAACAACTGCCTCCACAAATAACTACTTACACCACTTCACTCATTCCATAAACACCAGCTCTTACACAACCCAACAGACAGACACTGGTCCACTGGTGCTTCGCATTAACGTGCACATTACCATCAAGCGAACTTCACACTCATCTAGTTCACTAGACCAGTTCATATACTTGGTCATGGTTGCGTTGTCATTGTGATGAGACTATTCCATTCGATGGCAATTATCCTATGTCACAATGTATATGTATATGTATGGGTCGTTCGTAATTCAACATTGTTAGTTGGTGTGTCCGAGTCCTGTGAGTAGTGGTGCTGCCGCTACAGGGGAATAAGTAGAGAAGTATATGGTAATGCGGTGTAGTTGGAATGATTTGACAAAGCTTTGAATACATACAGCTCACTTCAGTGACGTTCATGTTTGTGGTTGTGGTAAATGTAATCACGTATGATATTTGTGTCACTATATATATATATATATATATATATATATATATATATATATATATATATATATATATATATATATATATATATATATATATATATATATATATATATATATATATATATATATATATATATATATGTGTACATATGTTCAGGCGGCTTGTTAATCGTTGAAGGTCTTGGGAACAGGTGGATGATGACAGTTGTGGCGATGATCTGTCTGGTGTGATTGGATGTGATGACTTGTGTTTGGTGTGTGAGGTGGATCATTGTGTTATTGTCCGTATAGTGTTGATAGGTGTATATATATGTATATTTATATACTTCCATGAAATAGTTTGTAATATTTAACATTAATTTTTTTCGTTGTTCTATTTTTTATTCTTTTTTCATTGTTAGTTGCATTGTGAAGTGATTTACGATACAGATAGTCGTCAATATTCTCTACTTGATCGAGGATCTAATTTCACTACGACTATCAATGGTATGACTTTGGCAAAGGTAATTCATTACTTTCAATTTTTCTTTTATTCTTCATGTATTTACCTTAAAATATATTCGTTTATTGATTTATCTGATTTATTAATTTTGTTCTTCTTAATTTTTCTTGATTATTGATAATGTTCAAAAGAACTTTTTATCAGATTCATTTATACGTTAACAACTAGATTCTGCTAAAAGATAAATTTTGATTATTGTTTCATAAATTCCTTTATTGCATCACCTAACAAGTAGTTTTCTAATACAATTAATCTATACATGTCTAATCGTTACGATACTCTATACATTTCTTATCTATTCTTTAATTTACGGATTCGAATATTAGGAAGATCAAACAAGTTAAATAAATAAATGGAATATCTAGAGCATTTTCTTAAATTGTCTGTAAACATGACAATTTTGTGAAAGTAGGTGACAAATAGGTGATTTTAATGAAACTAGTTTGTTTTTCTTTTCAGAAAGGATATTTTGGTGTGTTCTATAAAGAGAGATAGATAGTTTATGTCCTCCATGTATGGAAACATTCAGTTATTGTGAATAGATTTAATGAGATGCAATTAGTTGAACACCGATACTTATTGATAGATTAATAGTAAAAAGAAAAACACATTCATTAACTTTTGTATTTATTTCTATGTCAAATGTAATATCTGACAATATCAAGATGTATTTGATTGATGATAAAATACGGTCCTGACTACTTTTGATATTTTTTTATTGGTTACTATACTTTACGGTTTAAATCTAATTAGTGGGTAACTTTAATAAATAATATAACTCCGACTATAACCTTAAGCCTCATCTGATTACAGGGATTTAGTAAGAAGAACATAAACACATACATACATAACATCATACATTTTACAGTAAATGATTTTTATTAATGCTTTAAACAGAATCAGCATTTGAATGTTGTTGGAAAATTGTCTGATGTGAACTGTTCTCTTTTTCTAAAATAAAATTCATCTGTCTTAAATAATTTTGTTTTTACTCATTCCAATAAAAAAAGAACCTGGTGTCACCAGAGTACCATCGAATGAAAAAAAAATATATCAAGACTATGGAATTCTAGTGGCCATGATTGGTTGTTTTTTTTATCTAAACATAAATATACAAATTTTATACCGAATTTTATTCTATTCAGTTTTGGTTTTCAATAATACTTTCAAATGAATCAGATGACCTAGCCCTCCTATCGCATACACACGAACAAATGCAGATAAAGACAGCCAGTGTAGGAGCAGTCTCTGTATCAGTAGACCTCAACATATACAAGGGGAAAATCAAGTTCTTCAAATATAACACGGAGAACATCAATCCAATCGCACTTGATGGCGAAACTCTGGAAGATGTAGAATCCTTCACGTACCTGGAAAGCATCATCGATGAAAAAGGAGGGTCAAATGCAGACGTAAAGGCAAGGATTGGCAAAGCAAGGGTCGCATTCTTACAATTGAAGAACATATGGAACTCAAAACAACTTTCAACCAATATCAAAGTCAGAATCTTCAATACAAACGTCAAGGCAGTTCTACTGTACGGAGCTGAAACTTGGAGAACTACAACAACCACCATCAAAAAGATACAAGTATTTATAAATAGTTGTCTACGCAAGATACTCAACATCCATTGGCCGGATACCATCAGCAACAGCCTTCTGTAGCAGAGAACAAACCAGCTGTAGAGGAAATTAGGAAAAGACGATACAAATGGATAGGACATACATTACACAAATCATCAAACTGAATCACGAGGCAAGCCCTAACATGGAGTCCTGAAGGGAAGCGGAAAAGAGGAAGGCCAAAGAACACATCACGTCGGGAAATAGAATAAGATATTAAAAGGATGAATAACAACTGGAAAGAGCTGGACAAGGTTGGATGGAGAATGCTGGTGAACGTCCTATGCTCCTTCACGAGGAGTAACAGGCGTGAGTCAGTGAGTGTTTCAAATCAATGTCTTTTCATGACAAGAGTATATATATTTTGAAATGTCCATATTTCCTTTCTTTTTTTCTTTTTTTTCTTTTATTTAAGTGTAAATCATCAATATTACGTCATGGTGATATAATACGATTAGGTTCAACCCGTTTACTTGTACACATACATAATGGTAATGAAACATGTGGACAATGTGATCCAGACGAGATTAAGGCTGCTTTAACTTCAATTATAGATGTCAATGAAACAATGAATTCTACAAATGATGATATTAATACAGAAAATCTAACTGAAAGTATACCGAGTAATTAATTATAAAAACTTTTTTTGTCTATGTATATGTATTATTTAGAAAATGATTTCTTCTAACTGAGAAATTATGCATTTAATTATATTGATCTTGGTGGAGTTTTGTTCTTTGAGCTGGGTCGTTTGGTCATGGAGCTTTCATCGTTCTTCCGAACGACATCATCAGCACAAACTTCAACCATCCATCTCAGCGAACAAAACTCCACCAAAATCATCCACCTGAGCTACAAATCTTCTCCACCATCGCAAAATTATATTGATCATAAAGCAGGTAAATATAATTGATTATATTGAATAATCTGGTTATTTAGCCAGCAAACTAAAGTTGAAAGTGTAAACCATTCAATTACAATTGATTGGTTCAATGCTATAATGTTCACTATGTAACTTATAAAATTCTGGGTTTATTGTTTTCTGAAATTTGCGTTCATATTACTAAGGAGAATTAAACTATAGTGGCATAGTTGTTTAGTTCTTTCTAGATTTTTACCAGCTATTATTTTCATTTCATAATTGAGATAATCTTGATAGCAATACTTTCTTCTTCTTCTTCTTCTTCTTCTTCTTCTTCTAAATGACCAAATTTTGTTGTTTTTTTTGTTTTCCTTTCGAATCATCGAACTCAACAATAAAACAGCACATTCATCAAAAGATGCTGAAAGACGTGCAAAATTAGATGAAATAAAGAAAAAATATGGTTTAAAGGTAAGTTATGTGTTTCTTTTTGTTTTTTCCTCTTATCATTCTAAATAGAACGGAATCGTCCATGTTAGTACAATTTACCTTCTTGGATAATAATATTTGTTATTATTATGTTAAATAAATAAATCATCAGTATTAGTCCTAATTGTAGAAAATGCAAATTATGCTGGAGAATCGCTGATGTGTGATTTCTTTTTGTCTATTGACAAATTAAACTATTTAATAATTCGACTTTGAATTTGTACACTAAGTTTTAAATGTAGCGATACTGATTAGAAAGCCTAGATTGCATAGAATAATACAAACCTCCAATTTACAGATAAGATATTAAATGATCAATCATTTTGAGTTTCATTAGTTAAAATGTAGAACGTAATTTTAATAGTTTTATTCAGCTTCATCCAGCTTTCGGATTGATCAACTTGTCTAGGTATTGAGAATATACAATACGAAATGTTAATTTTAGCGTAATTAAAGTATTTAAGTTGTAGATCTTTTTTTTGTGCTTTTTGATATACTTTTGTGAAACCCGAATGACGTTATCTTTAGAGTAACTTTCATAAACTGACATTTTTATAAGTATATCTGACAATCTTATTTTAGTATCTATGTTCGGAATGAATGATGCTTTTGTTTGGATAGTTTAAAGTGGAATGATATACTTAATATATCATCCTAATAACTGAGCTACACAAAACTGGTTATATTCGACATTAATATTACGAAACAATTGGGATATTGAAAACATTACATTGGCGCTGATTAGTTTGTCACTGAGCTGTTTAGTTTTAGTAAAATCTTGTTTAAACATTACTGTCATTAATTCACCTATATTTTTCTACGTTAGGATCTTGTCATCTGCTTTTGAATACCATTGTCGAGATTAAAACTCTTCGGGTACTGACAAATATTTTTAATACCTTTTTTTGCTTAACCTGTGTAAATTATTCTTACTTTGATAAATTCATGTTAGTTTACACTGGCTTTAATTAGCAATTTAATAAAAGTAAAGTTTATTGAGTTGTAAAAAATTGACTTAAGTTAGAAATGTGTATCATAAGATATCAATTCAATTATCTCAAGGCATCATACTTACAGTGAGCCCTAGAGTCTTCAGTTTAATCTCTCTTGTAGTTGCAGTTACGTACCGTTGAGAAGTCTCATACTAGAATGGAACAGTTGTTTCTCTCTCCCTGGTATGGAATAGTTGTTTAACTAAAGTCAACTCATTATGTATATAATCTTCAAAAACAATTACATTAAGCAATTTTTTTCTAAAAATCACTTTGTTTACCTTTCGATCAATAGTTTCCACGAATAAGACCTCAGGCAAAGACAGACAGACAATATATGGATCGTGCTGCACAACGACGTGCAATCGAAGCAAATTTAAAAGCAGCAGGTTATCCATTACCTCCTGCACCAGGTGTAATAAAACAGCAACTTATTAAAACTCCACTAATAACTCGAGCAACACCAGCCAGTGTATATAAACCTATTGGAGATGAAAATAAAGGAGCTAAATTATTAGCTAAAATGGGTTGGACACCTGGTCAAGGATTGGGTAAAAGTAAAACTGGAATTTCAGAACCGGTAATTGATTTTCACTAGTTTGATTCTATTTTTACTATTTAATTTTTCTTTAACCTAAAAAGTAATGATAACTGGTAAATTTTTTGTAGACTGGTGATTAATAAGCAGCTATTTCCTACTTGTTCAAACTTCTTTAAGCGTGCACCATCTCTTTTTTTTAAATATTAAGATATATGAAATAGTCAAGTTTGACTAGAAGAAAAAATCCTATTCAAAGCGTTGCAATTAAGTGACAAATAATCAGTTACAAGAGAAATATGTTTATGGATAGTGAAATTTAGCCTTAAGTACAAATCCCTTGAACACTGTTTCCTGGCCTAGTTCATTAAATTCTACTCATCAGATTCATTAGGTTGTCAGACGAATATTTCAGTACTGTATTTTATGATAAGCCATTTTGGAAGTTAAAGATGATAACGTTCGATTTTTCTTTGTATTCACTTTATGTTAGTGAAAAACTTGTATACACAATGACTCAACTATACTTCAGAAACGCTTTCCATAGTATCAAACAGATTACAGTATATTTTGAAAAAAAATCAGCGTTATGGCAAAATAATTGACTGATTATATATTGAGATAGTGGACGTGGTTGAACTGATAATTTGATAGTTACCGATTCGGGACTTTCAACCGAAGAGATTTCAGACTACACAACCATTGGCTCATTATATGAATATATTGTTGAAATGTAACCCATAAATTAGGGGTTTATACATCATTCATCTTTGAGCCACTCGACTTGTCTGAGACTTATTGGTTTTATCTGGTTGCCCAAACCGAAACAAGTAAAGTGAGATTCGGACTTTCGACTTACAAGGTAACAGCCTGGTACTTCAACCACTAGGCCATTATTTCAATTTCTTTGTGAATTAAAGGTATCATCGATCGATAAAAGATTCATGCAAAATAAGATGACTTTTCATATGACATGACTAGTATATAGGGTTTACATGAAAATCACACATCTACTCTAAATAGACATTTCAATTAAACAATCACCCAGCTCAAATAACGTGCTACCAGTAAAAGTTTCCCTAAACACGATTGCTCTAAAGTTTGAATTTTCCAAACAAGGTCGATATTATCATTCTAAAATCTAAATATTCTCAGTTATCCCTAAATAGTTATGACAAATTGAAAAATAGAATAAAATATACATAAACAAGATAACCTAATGGTTAAAGTGCTTGATGTGTTTTACCACTAAGTTATAATATCTAACCCACTCCCTATCAAAATGTAATATAGTCTAGACAGTTAAATAGTGTCAAATCAATGTATACACAAATAAAGTGTGCAGTAAAGTCAGGTACATTAACCTTTACCAAGTTAAAGTATTACATTAAATAACTATTCTCTGCTTGATAATACATATATGTTTCTTGTTTATCTGAAAGACTTGAATAATAAAGTGTTTTGTTTTGACCTTTTTTGGATCTTTCCTTTAATAACTTGTTGTACACTACCAATGACGACGTTACTCAACTCTACTGTATATCACACTATTCAAGATAACTGTTAGTTTACGTGTCAATCCACAAGCTGGTCTTGGTTCAAGCAGTTTATCAAACAATACAATATCGATTGATTCAACACCAAGAGAATTATCACAAGCATATATTCGTGCAAAAACAAAAGAACGTTTTGATAAATTATCATAATTATCATTATTATGAAATGTATTCAATAGTTGGAAAGGTTATGCGTTTAATGAATTTAAAGAATTAAATTATATAAGAAAAGAAGTGTATATTTTATAAATAGAATTTTTATTATTGACTAATTTGTTATTGATAATAGTCTTTTCATTCAGATATAAAAGCGTTTCGAGTGTCAAAACTACAATGGGAATTGAAATGTTACCGACTGATATAATCTGGGATATTCTCTAGAGACAAGTTAGATAAAAAGATGACTGTATGTGATAGATTGTAAGCTTGTGTTAAGCGATTAACAATCGATTGAAAAGTCAAATTTGTATTCAATAAATACTTATGTAAATACTTTATAGAATAGGCAAATAATATGATAGTTCCTATTTTAATATTTCTGGTCATTGTTACTCAAACATACTGAAATATAAATTCCAGATTGTCCTATTCATTTGGAAAGTTTTCCAATCCCAAAGCCCGCTTCAGTTAATATGGGCACGTTAGCTTGATAGCTTTGGTAACCGCATACATTTTCATGATGTTTTCCATTATATCCAAGTTCGTCACTGGAAAAATCCCAAAATGGATAGAAGGTGGTCAATTAATCCCAAAGAAACCTGTTAAGTATCATTGGGTGGCCTCAGTGATGAAATATTTGCAGGTAAAATACGCGATTAAGTTAAATTATATACCAGATTTAAAGTCACCAGGAGCCATAATTTCTTAAGAAAAATGTCTATTAAATACTATAGACCGGTCTCTAAGCAAATCCCTGAAATACAAGATATACTACTATGAAGACCACCTGTTACTGAGACATTGCGAACAACTTGATAAGACCCAATGATTTATTGAAGGACAACAATTGACAACCAGGTTCAAAGATGTATTATACAGTCCAGAACTACAAATATTGTCACCAATAACTAAATCGTTATGAAGTCCGTCAAGTAAAGAAGTAATGAGTGGTCACTACACATGTGTTAATTATTTTCCCGTGACCACATTCAATTCGGTATTTTGCAGCTGCGTTGAATCTGTGAAAGTTGAACAGGCGGGATTTAGTAGAACCGCACAAACTTTGACAGTACCAGTGTCCCAGGTCCATTGGCAAACACAAATGCTAACTTAAGCCGGTACATATGTCGGTTACGTCGAATATTTATATCACTACAACTCTTTAGGTACTTTTAATGCAGTATATCCTGCTAACTGATATCCTTGAATGGAACACCGGGAACCAGAGCAGCTTTTGATTTTGCACCGAAATTGACGGACCTCTTAAACTGAACAGATCTACTACATCTGCATCATAATCCAATGTAGTTACTTCCAATTTCCACCAGTTATATGTGAGTGTCCATGCTTTATAAAATATCCAAAATAAGAGTCGTTAGAAAAAAAGGCATACTGAATACCTTAGAAATGTATATCCTGATAAGTACAGTACAAACAAAACATGTAAAGAAGAGGTAGAAACTAAGCAGAAAGATGAGTTTGAAATAAGTGTTTCGTGGAATATAAACGGGAGTCCTAAGGTAATTTGCCTTGTAGACCTCCATTCCACTCATCAAGTCTCACCCCGCTACTATCGCTTCATTTCTGACTTGATTTTACGTTTCTTCTTTTCGATGACCGCCAGTATTTAAAACTCTTTAGACAAGTTTTTGAGACCGCATATATTTTAGACAAAACAATAACAATATCAAAGGAATCCTGACATGTATAAATTATAGATATTGATATTCAGTGTAGGCCCTGGCAAAAATTCGGTTCGATTTCTTACACATAAAATCAACACAACAAAGACTGAAAAACAAGCAGAAAATAGGAAAATGATGTTATGCACAACTGAAAGCTGAGGATGAGGGATATAATTCAAAAGGATTAAATGATTATAAACTGATCTTCAGAAGGGAGCAGAGAAACTGTTCTATTATCTGAATTATAATCTGGTACGCGAGAACTGATTGGTTGATGAGAGAAGAAGAGATAAATGTAGTAAAAGTCTACGTAAATATGAATTTAAAGCAATTAGTCCTTTCGATGAATTTCGATAGTGCAATAAGAAGACGAAGATTATCAGAACTATGTTCTGATGTTTTTAACAAGTATATGTGATCAGATTGTTCGAAATGTATTGCGCTAATATATCACATAGTTCTGATAATCTTCATCTTCTTATTACACTATCGAAATATATGAATATCTAGATTACAACTCAAATGGTGCATAAGATAAGTGGTGCTTCAGCTTTCTTATTGTTGATGACATTAAATATCAAATTCACCGGTATTCACATATTGTCCCGGTACGAGAAGAAAAGCGAATAAACTTCTCCATATTTTACTGTTTTTCCCGGTTTCTTTTTAGACTTCTTGCTATTCTCTGATTAATGACATGCATGTCCAGAAGGACCCAAAGAAAGTATCATACAAAATATCTTAATCACATCCATCCGTAATTAGCCAGCAGGTCGTAAATATTACTTTCACCTATTCAACAGTTCTATCGTTTAACTTTATGTACGGGGTATTTGCTGTCATGAATGTTTGTAAGCCTCTGGGAAAGCACAGACAGTTGTGCTTGATGTTTCTATAAAATCTCCGTTGTGGAATGTATTACAAACCCAAATGTAAGACTCAATCCCTCTGTATTCTTGTTCACATGTTCTAGTTTAGTTAAAAATGGAAAAACAGACCTTCTGAAAGACTGATTAGTTCTTCTGAGATTATTTCTCACGAGGTCTGCTCACTGACAAAAAGCCAATTTAACGGTCGCAGATGGTGCTTGAAGCCAAAGGAAACTTTTGTAACAGGATTAGGACTACACTGTTTCTAGTCCCAACTCTTAAACCGTCTTAGTCTTGGGCTTGTGTTATTGCTGATTGTTCCCCATTGCCTTCCCTATTAAAAGCAAGTGTATTTTGTGTGTCCGCTGAGTTGTCGGCCGACGTTTTATGACATTCTTTGTGCACACTACTCAGAACGTCCTTCTTTTGCTCACATATAATCTACCTTCAGGCTGGGCACGAAGCACTACATACCAATTCTGTTTCACATTTGAAGGCAATGAATTTCCGCTTACTACTTTGATTATTTGAAAGCATCTGCATATTGGAAAGCGAAAGCTTGTTTCTCTACTTTGTAGACCAAAAAACAATAATGACCAATAGCATCCTTGTAAGAGCGTTACAAAACGTACAGGAGTGTGTAAAAAGGTACTATTGGAAAAGATGTAGATAAAAACTAAATCAAACATACCTGAACAATACATCCACCAACAGGTAAAGACACTATCGTAAAATAAGAAATACACAAGAAATGCTAAATGTACATAACTAATTATCAGTTATTAACGTATATTAGACACAGGGAAAGCTCTCCGGTCTGATTGATGATAATAGAAATACTTAAATCACACATCAATAACCGAAGTACAGTAACCCAATTTAGCAGTAAATGAATCCCAGAAATAAATAGTTCTGTAAGTGTTCGACGTTGATGCTGACCTAATTAGTTTTACTGAAGACACCTAGACGAAGGCACTCGGTCACTCATCCGTACCAAACCACTATTGGGAACACCGTGTTACACATCACCTGCAACTGCTAGCCAGCTTAGACTAAAGAATTCCCGATATAACAATAGCCCTCCAAATATACGTACTCGAACCACTTTATTCCTGATTTCTTATTTGACTGTGATGGTGTACTTAGATTATGAAGGTGTTGCTTATAAAGATGTTGTCAAACTTGAGGCATATTCATTGGTAAGATCAACGTGATTTAGCACATCAAACAGTAAACTGTGAATCTGTTTCTTGTTGGAACATCATATACACTATTTTAAATTTTTATTTGTACATAGTAAGACATTGTTTTCGGATATTTTTCTCGTTCATTGGTTCATCTCTTCTTCATCATGACTGAACAGACACTTATGTTACTTAAGATTAAGACTCTTTTGCCTGCCACATTTCAACCCATGCCACTGTGGCCCGACACTATAGAAGCTTGATTCTGCTGCGCAGAAGCTGACTTCCATGAACACGGCGTGACAGACCCACATGCACAATTTCTCACAGTAGTGAAGATATTGCCACGCGATTTTAACATGTACGCCATACCTAGTCTATTGACTTGTGATGGTTCAAAACCTTACGGAACTTCAAAGAAGGTTATTCTTAAACGTGAAGACCTATCCGATAGACAAAGATTAGACCAACTTTTCCAAAACATCGAACTGCAATATGGCTCAACGACGCAAATGTTGTTACAAATTTGAGAGGTCACAGGTCAATGGGCTTTTGACGAGGGCCTGTTTAAACAGCTCTTTCGTCTAAGCTCCCTCAAAAGGTTCAGGCAGTTCTTGTTGTAAGATCCGTTTCAAATGTTTTGTGTGTGTGTGTGTGTGAAAATCCCTTCATGTATACACTTGCACTTTGTTCCTATTGACCCCCTTAGTTGTACACTGTTAGTTTTTGATTACATTTGAATTGTTAATATTTTGTTTTTTATTATAGTTTTTATTTTTCTTACGCCTTCACTAAAATTTTGTGTTTCTTCCCGAACTGCATCTATGTTGTTTTGCTTGATACTTGATCTTGACGGCAGCCATATTGATTTGCTCCTCCTTTTGTGCGTGTTCTATCCAGTCAGGATAGAATGGCATTCATTTGTTGTGACCGGTAGTTTTTCCCGCACCTTTTATCAACTTCTTTATTTATTGTAATTTAGATTTGATTGACTGAACAATTATTGCTTCAATAGCCGGGTGGCAATATTTGTTTAGGTAACGATGTACATTTAAATTTATGATGAATTATAGAACCGCTATTACTTGTTTTGATTTTGACGGGCAAGGGCGCGTGTCTAACTTACCTGAACGGCTATTCTTCAGTCCAAACCGTAGTTTGGATTCTACACGTGTCTCATCTCAAAATAACACTGTAGACAAACTTGAATGCGTCTGCCGACCAGATTCTGGAGATCAAAAGAAACCTCATCGCCCGAGGGCATCAAAGACCTCCTCCATGCTCTGACTCCTCTTCTTGATATTCATCGTAATCGTATACACCCTCAAACATCTCGAAGAAACCCGCTACTTAAAAGACCAGCCTCAAGAC